AGTGCTAGCGAATGGCGTTTTCAGATTCCAAAAATGTTGCCTGGAGGCCGAGCATATCATATGGTGGAATCGATAACACAACTTAGAAATGGCTCATGGAAATTGGATGAAATAGGTTGATTCTGACAGGAAATGATCCCATTTAATTGCTCGAATCGGGAAATCCGTTTGGCTATATATTTGAATGTCGTTGGTGAGTATGGAACATCATGCAAGTTGATGGTGGTGGTATTGATATCAAAACTAAGCAATGGCTCATGGAAATTGGATGGAATAGGTTGATTCTGACAGAAAATGATCCCATTCAATTGCTCGAATCGGGAAATCCGTTTGGCCATATATTTGAATGTCGTTGGTGAGTGTGGAACGTCATACAAGTTGATCGTGGTTGTCGCAATCGACATATTTACTGTTGTTTAATAAAGCATTATGTAGGTTATTTAATAAAGCATTATTGCTGTGCGATGCACAATTGAAGGTTTTAGGTCATACCATATTGTTTGGCAATATGTTTGTCATGAATGTAAAATATGCATTATCGAAACTATATAAACCGAAGTGAATAAACAGAAAACGCTTAGTTCAACTGAACCTGCACATTGAATCGTTTCATTTCAAGAAGGTTTGACTGAGCTGAGACATTTGGTCCTTCGACGAAGTTACGAACAAACCAACGTACAACGAATTAAAATTCAAAAAACCAACGAAAACCACGAAACCACGAAACCAACGAAAACCACGAAACCACGAAACCAACGAAACCAACGAATTAACGAAAATGAATAACGAACGCGAAATCAAACTGCAAGAAAAAGATGCCGCCCAATTGAGAAAATGGATCTCCAATTTCGGTAAGGATTCTGAAGATCGAAAAACCAAAGAGGCGTATTTTCAAAGCCGCCTCGAAAAACTGGAAGTGTGGTGGATCGAGTTTGACAAGCGCAACGTGAAAATCGAAAAAGTAGAGGCAGAACGCGTACAGGCGCTCTCGGCGGATACGGCCAATGGACAGGGGGCGCCCGATCCCGTACCGTACTTCGCAAACGGCTTTTTTGCAGAGGTGAAGGCAGAATACATCGAATTCCGCACGACATTGCAGGAAGGTGTAGCAAAGTTGAGAAATCGAGCCTCAACTTCGACAGTAAACGGCAATCGATCGGACAACGAAGACATCAACAACGGCATAGACTATCTGAATTTCGACTCCGACAGCGATGAGGATAGTGAAGTGGGTGATCAACCAAGCGACGTGCCTGAAGTGAAAGTGGTGATGTTTCAAAAAAGCGAATTGATTCAGGCCATAAGATCAATCAAAAGGAAAGGTGAGATGTCGGTTGGGCTTGCGAGCATGCAAATCGACAATTTGAAGGTGTTGTGGTCTGAGTTTCGATTGGCCTATCGTCAAATCGCCGTTTCGCAGCCAAGGGCAATTTGTGAGAGCATCAACTTTGAAAAATTGCAAGATCAATACATGACAGTTTGCGGGGAGCTCAATGACGTCGTAACAGAGAAAAAACGCGTCGCTCCCATCAAGCTGCCAGAAGTGAAATTGCCTGAATTTTCGGGTAACATCGTAGAATGGAAGGCGTTCCGAGATCTGTATGAAAAGTTGGTACATAACAATAACGTCGTTCCTGAAGCAATAAAAATGCAATATTTGAAGTCATGTCTAAAAGGCGAAGCAGCGTGTTTGGTGAAGCACGTAGCACCAAACGCAGAAAATTACGCGTCTTGTTACACGATCCTAAAAAACAGGTATGAAAATACACGTGAGAATTTTTCAAAGCTGTGCGATTCAATGTTGGACTTTCCGCCGCAGATGGGAGAAAGTAGCACCAGTTTAAAGCGAATGCATGACGTCATCTACGAGAGCACCATGGCGATTAGAAACATGGGAGTAAGTACGGAGAACTGGGACAAGCTGCTGGTTCAAATTTTCATGAAAAAATTAAGCGAAAAAACCATCATGGATTACGAGCAGAAGCTCGACAACGTGAAAGAACTAAAATCATTGAAATATTTTTTGGACTATTTAGAAAAAAGATTCACAACTCTCAGTGCCGTGGAGAGTAAGACGCAAACAAACGCAAGCAAATTTAAAAAAAATGAAGTGTATAATAAAGACGAATTTGGCATAAAATGCTCGTATTGTGAAAAAGCACATTCAGTGTACAAATGTGACGTGTTTAAAAAAATGAGCCCAGCAGAACGTTTGGAATGGGCGAAAGACAAAAGAGCGTGTTTTCAATGTCTCCAATTTCATAAACAGAATGAGTGCAAGGCAAAATATCCATGCAAAACATGTGAAAAAAAACATAATACATTGCTACATTTAGAATCATCGAAAAAAAAT